GCAACGTACTACCACAACCAGTCCACCACCGCCCACCTCCTCATCCCCAGCCACTTCCCCATCCCCCAACCCCCATCGCCAGTCATGGCTCCATCCACACCCTCCCCAGCTCCAGATCTGACCAAATTCAACTCATCCCCTGCTTAGCCCCACTCCCAGTTCCTTAGTCCCCAGCCCCTCCCTGCTCTTCCGCCCCCTGTCATCCGTCCAGTTTGCCCAAAAAACACCACCGCACCACCACGGACCATTGTCGCACCCCACCAGCAGCGGCGCCCCAAATCGGAGTCATCTTCCATGGGGAATGGCGAATCCGACATCGGCGGCCCTAAATCAGAAACGCCGCCCACTGAGGAAGATGGATCTGGAACCATAGGCTTCAGTTCGGAGCCGTCGTCCACCGGAGGCGCGGTCAGTGAAGACATGAGAGAAGCTAGGCGAAGCTGATGGCGGATTGCGATGAAGGCTTAGGGCGGAAGAGATGGAGAAAATGAAGTATGCAGGGCGGAAGAGATAGAGAAGATGCGACTAAGTGATCGATACGGTAAAAGGGGAAAAGCAACGGGCCGGATCACTTTTGTGGTATTTTTAAAAATGGTCATATTTTTATCCAAGAGAAGTTGAGAAGTGATAGTGATGTTATTCTTTCTTCAATGAATCCATTGTGTATAATAAATAGAATTATGATTTTAGTCGGGCGTAGCATGAAAATGGCAGAACCGGGTTCGTATATAATTTGTTGGAGAAAAATGGGGAGAGGTGGGCGCCCACCATCCCCGTAATTTAGGTCTATAAAGGAGAAGCGAACACCTACAATAAATAATTAATTATCATCATCATCTTTAATTATTTCCCGGTCGGATTGTGTGGATCGATTAAACACCGTCTGATAGTTTAATTAATTATACTCGATCGATGGGAGCATATGATGGGAAAGTGGAGTGCGGAAAGAGATCAGATGGGGAAGAAGGCGGCGTTGTGCTGCCAGGCTTCCGCTTTCATCCCACCGACGAAGAGCTGGTCGGCTTCTACCTCACAAGAAAGGTGGCCAACCGCAACATCAGTATCGAAATCATCAAGCAGCTTGACATCTACAAATATGACCCCTGGGATCTTCCAAGTAAGCTTCATTCATTGCTACCTATCTCAATTCCTACCTTCCTTATTAGCTACCTACCAATCAATGTTCAAATTCGATATGTACAAATGCATACTTGTATATATGTATATGCAAGCTAAGACTGTATGTAGCTAGCTAGATCCATATATATGCAACTCTGGCCATGGAATTATTTTGACCTCATATCGATCATCACCTCACCCATATGTATGTTATATTAACCCTAACTGATCAATACTAGTAGCTAGCTTAACTAGGTAGGTCCTAAGATCGAACAAGCTGCTAGCACACTGAGCTACTTCAACATTTAAATGGACCGATTTAGAATTGAAGGAGCCCTTCACTTTCACAACTTTCTATTATATCTGTAATATTATCATAAGATTTTAAAAAAATATTGATATTTGTAAAATATCAATTGGTATGTATTAAATACCATACAAAAAAAATCAAATACCATACATAATATACTAGTATAACAGATTTTAGATAATGTGAAGTAAATCCAAAATATAAATATTTGTGTGACATTAGATTACACAATTCATTTACTTCTTATTTTCTAAAAACAATTTATTGCACCGATCATAAACATCAACCTATTTTACCATTAATACATATATAATACACACCATCTATGATAATTTGGGTTTTCTCTTATACGAGTATATGAATCAACTTAGCTTTAACCTATTTTAGCATTAATACAATATAGAATAACAAACACAAAACTCATACTATATTTGAGTTTACAAATATTAAGTTTTAATATTTAATTTAAAAGCTTAATAATCTCCAAATATATTCAAATCCAAAATAGTTTAAAAATAGATCACAAATTCCAATTTCAAAGTAAATACCAGGCATAGTCCCAATCCGATTTCGGTCCCAGACCAGTCGGTCCTGAGTGGGTATGTGGAATCGAGACCTGCGCCGAACATTCCACTTGGCTTTTTATACTATCGTATATTTTAAGCCCTCCCAATCACTTCTCTACCTTTAGCTTTTAATGGATTTTTACCTCTTCTAAAATGTTTCTCATCTTTGAAATACAAAACAAAAAAGGCTGAACCGGGACCGGACCTGTCAGTTCTATCCCCCAATACCCTAATCGGGACCGGGATGGGTGGGGACAGGTCTGTGTCGGTCCAAAGACATAACCGTACCAGGAAAAACCAGTTACGGTGCGGTCCTAAAAACCTGCCGATTCCGTTCCTAATCGGTCTGGAATTGTGGACCGGGTTGAACACTAGTAAATACTGATGCAAACCTCAATTTTTTCACAAGAAACTTCAAGATTACCTATTTAATTGAACTAAATAACAATATATGCCAGAAAAGTAATGAAATACTTTTATAAAGTTTTTGGAGTTCTTTTTAATTTTAAAACCCCTAGTTTATGGTTCTGTGTGTTTTAAAGTAATATATTTGTAATGAATTTAGAAACGATGTGTAATATAATGTAAAAGAGCAGGGAAACCAATGGTGGTCCTATTAGTGCATTCAAGTTTAATTTTAGTCCTATATAGGACAATTACTAATGTTTTAACATGTGATCAACTTGTAAATGTAATATTATTTATTGATACAAATTTAAATATTTGATGTAAATGACTTTATACAATATGTAAAAGAAATTGCGGACTATAGTAGTAAAATATGGGCAGAGTTCTCAAAAAGATGTAAATATGTTTTCTTCTCAAAATAAAATCTATTTAGTTCTTTTAAAAAATTAGACAATTAAACTTCACAGAATAGAAGTGAATTGAATGTGTCCTGTTTTGAGAAGAAAATAATTTAATGACACTTTTATTTGGGAAGCTATGCTATGTCTTACTCATATTTAGAGAACTTTCACACATGTAAACCACATGTGTCAAACTTGTAATTAAATCTGGTACATTCTATGTGAGTGTAATAATGCATTTTGATACAAAAATATAAATCATTGGCGTAAATGATTATATAATATAGGACGTGTAAATAATGTGTGAAAAGTATGTAAGTATGATATATTCTTGTTATGATGTATTCTTGTGAAGTATATTATATGCAGTGATATACTAGATGTAAATGATTTCATAGAAAAGGTAAATTATGCATGAAAAACATGCAAGTATAGTGTATATCTACATAACTTATGGAACACGCACGATAACTTTGTTAGATTTAAAACATATAAGGATGTTTTCTTTTGGACTGATATTTGCTGGTCTGGTCTGGTCTGTTTAAGTCTGGTCTGGGACTGAAAAAAGTCCAAAAGAAAACATCCTAAGTCACACGAAGTGGAACATATAAGCCAGAGCTCGAAGAAGAGTTGCAAATAAACATGTTAAATACAAATATGATGTTTTGTTTTAGATAAACAAAACTTTTAGTTGTGAATTGATAAAGAAGTAGAAGAAGAAAACTTTAGATTCATTCGTAATTTAAGATGAACATGGATAAGAACATAATTGTGGTTAAATTCTTAGTATTTGATGAAGAAAGAGAAGGTAATTAAAGAAGAAAACAAACTGGAAAGTACTAGCTAGAGAAACCAACGGAGTCTGCTGAATAGATCCACGAGAAAGAGGTAGAAGATACTGATTTTTTAATACAAACCCATAACGGATTAGGGTTAGCACACCATGAGCATCGCAAATTATACGACATCATTCCTTTTCATTTTACATGCATTATCAACGATTTCTTTATTCTCCTTCAATTCATTTCTGTAATTTTTCTTTATTCTTCCTTTCTTCAACTTTTTTCTTCTTCTCTATCAAAATACTAAAAATTTAATTGCAATTTCATTTTCTTTATCTTTGACTAATTAAATTACAACTAAGTTTATCTTTCTTTTCTTTACCATTTCAATACAAATTTTTATTAATCCACATAAAATAAGTTTATTGATCGGTATAAAAATAGTAATGACTCCTATTTCGGAAAAGAAAAACATATAATAGTCTTATCACAACATTTCTTGTTATATTATTGTATTTCTTGTCATATTCACTACACTTCTTGTCATATTCACTGCATTACATACAAATTACTAATTGTGTTCACTAGTCATTGTCCTAGAATTCACTGCACACTGCCTTCGATCGTTTACAACCTATGGTTTATCTTCAAATTTGGGATCACCTTCATCCTACGAGGCCTTGGTAGAAGAATCTGTGACGTTGGAGCGGCGGTCCAACGCCGTTCTTCGGGCACATTGCGAACCCTAATATCAAAATATACAAAAAGAAGAAAAAGGGGAAGGTGTTCAGTTAAACGGCGGGCGGTGGTGCTACGGGATGGCGAGCGATGGTGTTGTGTGATGGCGAGCGGTGATGTTGTGTGACAACGGGTGGTGGGGTGGTGGTGCTGCGGGATGGCGGGTGGGGCAGGAGACTAGAGACGAGCTGCTACGCCCAGGGTTTGAGAGAGAAGTAGGAAATTAGACATTTATAATAATATAACATAAGGACATATTAGTCCGTAGAAATTATTTATTTACTTATTAATATATTAATTAAATAGCTAGTACGGAGTACAAATTTAAATATTATTTTAAGAAAAAACTAGTATAATCAAAAATTGGGAAAGTGAGGGACTTCTAGCCATTCCTAGAGTATTTATCTCCATAATAACATATATGTTTAAGATTTTTATATCATGAGGTCAACGCGATTGTAATTAATGAGTGTTAACGTGATATAACTTGAGTTTAATTAGAAACCAGTGTAATTTAGAAGTTTTCAATTTTAAACGTTGAAATATTTGGTAACCTTTTACTCCGTATTTTATTTCAAATGGTGAAATTGGTATCCAGATTTAGATGATTGGTAGAGCAAATCACGTTAATCAAATTGCACTTGGTCCAAAACCAAAATCAACAAGCTTGCATTTAGAACGTTGAAAAGCAACCTTGATCATATTTAGTAAACCTTGTTTTCCAATAATGATTTACATTTATCTTTACGGTTTGACTCCACATAATAATATTCATACATACAAAGCATTATTTATTATTTGACAATTAAATATTTGATTTATCTTTAACTGTCACCAATCGTGTTGCTCTGACCTGTAAACAAATCATTTAGAGAAGATTCTTAGTTGCCTGTTTTCAGTATACTAATTGAAATACAAATAGTCTTTGAACTACACATAAACCTCTATTTACATGCACGGGCGTATTAAAAATTTAGTGAGTAAGGGCGAACTTACACTACAACGGAGGTTTTCTTTTGGACTGTTTTCAGTTCCAGACCAGACCAGACCAGACCAGACCAGACCAGACCAGACTTAAACAGACCAGACCAGACTTGGATATTTATAAAATACACAGAGACCAGACGTTTACCAGACCAGACCAGACCAGTTCAGACCAGACCAGACCAGACCAAACTTAAACAGACAGACCAGACCAGACCAGACCAGCAAATTTCAGTCCAAAAGAAAACATCCTACAATATAGTCACATATCTATTGCATAAATAATACATTTTAAAGATACAATTATAGAAAGTTTTGCAATATGTCACTTTTAAGCAAAGATTCATTATAGTATTATACTAATCTATTTTTTCTTTCCAATTTAGTATCATGTACGAAGCATATTAATTCTAGCTATACTACATACATTAGAATTTAAGTAAGATTAGAATTCTTATTACATTAATTTTTAACTGCAATGTTGGAGTTCTACGTTATATTTAACTCATGTTAAATTAGTCTAGAATTAGAACTCATGTAGTGCAAAAGTAGTGCTCCCGTGCAAAGTGCGAACGGAAAATGCAATCAAATATAGAAATTGAAAATGCAATCAAATAAAATCATGTAAATTAAAATATTACCTTTGTAGTACATAATATAAAAAGGCTACTTTTATAAATCTATTCTTCTTCCATTTTGAAGTGCAAAATCCGCCATTAATTCACTAAAATTAGAGGTAAAAACACTTTTTAATATTGAAAACATAGCTAGACGTCTCATCTATCATGTGGCACTATTGAATGAAGATGTTTTTCAATAAATAGTACTAAATAATGTTTTCCAGGATGTTTTACTTGTATACAAAATCCTAAATATTTCATAATGCATGAATATAAATTAAGAACATGGTTTTAACAAATTAAAAAAATAAATAATTACAAATACTTATGATCAAAATAAAGATTATTTACAAAAATGTGACCTCTTATGTATAGTGGTTATAATAGTAATTTAGTCATAGTAACTTATATTCAAGTTTTATACTTAAATGACCATGAAATTATAATAAAGTAACTATCAGTCATATTATGTTTTAAGTTATATTTTAAGCCAAAAATAAAATACACTATAGTAATGCATAATTATTAGTAAAATTGTACGTAGTATTCATAGAAGAAAATAGATTGAATTATAGGACCAGTGTTATCTATTTCTCTTCATTGACCATCGGTCCTTCACCTTTGTCGTTGTGTTCCGTACTATATATTACTTTTTTCTCTTTCTTTAGTATTACTGGACGCTACTAGTACTACATGTATACACGAATTAGGAGTACATGATAACAGTAGTTTTATTTATAAAAACGGGTGCCCCACATGAAAATGGTGCCCTAGGCATAAGCCTAGGTGCCTACCCCTAAAGCCGGTCCTATGAATAGTGTATATATTTCAATGTTGCAATTAATGCGATATGGAGGATAGTATGTGCGTGTATGTATATAGCACTCTGTATATACACACACTAATTACTAATAGACGTGAAAATGAAAAAAAAAAAAAGGAAGTAGCGCAGCAGTGGCGGGAGACAGTGTGAAGGAATGGTACTTCTTCTGCATACGAGGAAGGAAATACAAGAACAGCGTGAGGCCAAATAGGGTAACAGGTTCCGGGTTCTGGAAGGCAACTGGCATCGACAAGCCCGTTTTCTCCTCCGGCGGGGGCGCCGCAGCGGCAAGTGACTGCATCATCGGACTCAAGAAATCACTGGTTTTCTACAGGGGAAACGCAGGAAAAGGAACCAAAACTGATTGGATGATGCATGAGTTTCGCATGGCTCCACCGCTTGACCCCAAAGCAGCGGCTGCTACTCAAGATCAAGCGGTATGTATGTATGTATGTATGTCGATCTACATGGATTTTTTCAGGAATATTACTAAAATAACACGTATTTTCAAAAATATGATTGATAGTTATCACTCGTATTTTCAGTGTCATGATAATATAAGCTATAAAACTTAATTACAACAAAATAGTGTCATGATAATTTAAGTTTAAAAATTGAACATAAATTATGATTAAATTGTCACTCTAATCACCGGTTATATTTTTGTAAACAATCTTTATTTTAGTTATAAATATCCAATTATTTCTATGTATATATATGTATGTATGATACGGAGTAATTAATTAAGGGAAAATTCCCGAAATAGGACTAAAAACGTTTGAAAATTTCAAAATAGGATTGTCATATTTTTATTCCCAAAATAGGAGTAATTACTGCCAAGTTTGGAAAATACTGCCATCTTTAAAGCCTGGTACTGCCCAAACATGATAATAATTGGTCTTATTTTAGAAATAAAAACATGTCAGTCCTATTTTGGAAATTTTAAATGTTTTTAGTCCTATTTAGGGTAATTTCTCATTAATTAAGTACGCAAATTTGGATGATGGGTGATGATATGAAACTAATTATATATGCATGCATGCATGCATGCGGCCCTCAGGAGATATGGACACTGTGTAGAATTTTCAAAAGGAACACACCAAACCACAAGAGATGCAGCGGCGGCGGCAACATGAATGAAGAAGCAAAGGAGGCACGGAAGCAGCGGCAGAACGGCGGCGGGTTGGAATTGGTGATGGGAGGAGGGGCGCCGGAATTGCAAGAGGACAAAAGAAGCCGCCAACAGCTAATGAGCCTATTCAGTGGGGCGGAGGACGGCGGCGGCTCGTCGTCGCGCTACACTACTACTACTACTACTTCCCTCACAAGTCTCTTGACATCATCCCCGACCAGCTGCGGCTACGATGATCGGAGCGAGTACTTGTTCCCGGTCGATGCCAAATGGGATGAGCTCAAGTCCGTCGTTGGCCTCGCCACAACTGACCCTGATCACCGTCATGCCCCCGCCGCCGCCTGCTACACTACTCTTAACCACGCCCGCCCCTTTTTTTTCACTGCTTAATTAGCTTGCTAGCACCCTAATTTATATATCCATCATTGCAATTTATAGCTCATATCATGATCGATCGATAATTAAGACGGTTAGTACTCATACATTATTTTTGTAAACACAAAGACCAAGCCCCGAGCTATCATTTAATTTAGTGCATTTTTTTGTTCTCTTTATTCAAACGAAAAATTAAATTTATTTTTCAAGTTGGGCAGCTGCAAATTTCTCCCTAGGGTTCTCTACGGGTTTTGGTGGGTTTGGTATCCGGCTAATATTTATTTAATCACTTGCCTAGTTCAAGGGACATTTGGGTTGCGCGAAGTTTTCTTCATCAACGATCATAGAGTTTTCGAGGATCTCAGCTGCAACGGGAAGGAATAGGATAGAAGGTCAAAAGGTGAGTATGGTGCAAACCCTGGCCAGAGGTCTTGCTTCAGTTACGATCGAGAGGTCGTGGTACAATGACCACTATGACGGCTAGCTATAGCTTAAGCACGTATGAGGGGCAACGAGAGTTGAATGACTTCACCTTTTGCCTTGTCCACCTCAATTCCTTTGGATGAGATCACATGGTCTAGAGCAATTCCTTCCTCCACTTTAAAGTGGCATTTTTAAGAGTTTAAAACAAAAGTTGATTTTAAGCAACTTTTGAGAACAAAAGATAGATGATGCATGTAAGTAAGAATCAAATGAGTCCCCATGGATGGTGAAATCATCCATGAAAACTTCCTCAAATAGCTCAACATATTTAGAGAATATGCTCATCATGCATCTTTGGAAGGTGGTCGGGGCATTGCATAGTTCGAATGACATGTGTCGGTATGCAAAGGTGCCAAACGGACAAGTGAAAGTGATTTTCTCTTGATCTTCAGGGACTATGAGTACTTGAAAATACCTGGAGTAGCCATCAAGGAAACAATAGAATTTATGCCCGTCAAGTCTCTCAAGCATTTGATCAATGAACGGTAAAGAAAACAAATCATTTCTAGTTACGGCCGCATTGAGTCGACGGTAATCTATGCATGCCCAGTATACCCTCCATCCATTTTGAATTCGTGTGGCCATGAGTTCTTCATGTTTGTTCACCACCGTGACTTCGGTCTTTTTGGGAACAACTTGGGTTGAGCCACCCATTTTCTATCGGAAATAGGGAAGATAATTCCCATTTGTAACAACTTAATGACCTCCTTTTTACCACCTCCATCACCAGTGGATTTAGTCTTCTTTGCGGTTGTCTAACCGGCTTAACTTCGTCCTCCATCAAGATGTGGTGCATGCAAGTGGATAGACTAATGTCATTGATATCGGCTATAGTCTATCTGATCGCCAAATTTTACTTCTTGAGCACCACAATCAACCTCTCTTCTTGCTCCCAGGTCAATTTATTTGAAATGATGACCGGTAAGTCTGGTTTCTTTCTCTCCCAAGAACACATATTTCAAGTGCTCTAGGAGTGGTTTCGTCTCAACTTTGGGTGCCTGCAAAACTGAAGGCAAAGGTTTCTCTTCGTGGATGATTAGTGGAAATTGACCCCGGTGGCATGAGTGGAAGTTGAAAGTGATTATCCAATTCCACCATCATTACTTGTAAATTAGGGGTCAAAGCAAGTTCCAAAATATCTTCCCCCACATCATCCTCAAGAACACTTAACAACTCATCCTCTCTATTAGTTTCAAAAGCATTTTGCACTAGAGGATCAAGAATATCAATGGCAAATAGAGACTTATCATTCTTCACTGGGGTATTTCATGGATCATAAATATTGAATTCAACTTTATCTTCATCAAATTCCATTCTTAAAGACCCTCTAAAAACATCAATTTTGCTCTAGTGGTCTTTAAAAATGGCCTTCCTAAAAGGATAGGTAACGCGTTCTTATCATTCTCCATTTCCAAAACATAAAAGTCGGCGAGAAAGTTCAAATTATCAACCATAACTAGTACATCCTCTACAGTACCCTTAGGGTAAGTATTTGATCTATTCGCAAGTTAGATTACCACCCCGGTTTCATTTAGAGAGTCAAGCTCTAGTGATTTATACAAAAAATAAGGAATGACATTAATTGAGGCTCCTAGATCTAGCATGACCTTAGAAAAAATTGGTGCCCCCTAACTAACAAGGTATAATGAATATGCCCGGGTCATTGTATATCTTTGGCAGTTTCTTTTGAAAAACTGCCGAAACACGTTCACTAACTTTCACTTTTCGTTTCCTATTTAATCTATGTGTCCTTTTAATTGTGCATAACTCTTTCAAAAAAAATTGCAAATCTAGGAACACCTTTGATTAAATTGAGGATAGGAATGTTTACCTCGAATTTGTTGAAGGTTTCATAGAGTTCTTTGTCCCCCCCTTCGTGTTTCCCTTAGAGCCTCGGGAAATGGTGGAATGAACTCATGAGTGACCCGTGGTGGAGTTGAGATTTGAGGTTCCTCCTCCGGTTGATCTTTCTCGACAAGCTCCTAGCTCGTCATCTTCCTCCTCGTCAATGTGGCTCTTTGCTTTTTCTTTAGCAATAACCGGTTCCTTGCCACTCCTCAATGTCACGGCATGAGCTTGTTGCCGAGGATTTGGCTCCATTTGAGACGGAAGCTTTCCTGAATCCTTAGCCTCAAGCCTACTCACCGCACTTGAGATTTGGCTCATTTGGTTCTCAAGATTTTGTATGCTTGATTTATTTTCATATTGGAATTGGACCATGTTTTGTTGCATAGTAGAGACATTTGGGGTGAGTGCTTGGATCATGTCTTCGGTGGACATATTTTGGCCTTGTGGTTTGGGATACATGTGTTTATTTTGAGGGAATGATTGATTTTGTAGAGGGTTGTTTTGTTGTGGATTCCCTTAAGGATTACCATATTTAAGATGTGGGTGATCTCTCCATCCGGGATTATAAGTATTGTCATAAGAATCATACCTCTTTTACTTTTGGAAATTCAAAGCGTTGACTTTCTCGGGGTCATCTTCTTGTAGCGTCGGGCATGAGTCGGTTGGAGGCTCTTGTTGTGTACAAATGCCGCAGACCTTGATTTCTTGGGCTTTAGGATTTAAAATAAATTCTTTAACAACAGAAGTCAAGCCGGCAACTTGATTCTCCAGAGTTGATATAGATTCTGCAGCGGCAACTCTGCGGGTCGAGGACCTCCTTTGTAATGCCTAGAATTCTCGGCCAACTCCGAGATGAGGTTTCTTGCTTGAGAGGGGGGGTTTTGTTGACAATTCCCCCTCCGCATGCTGCATTAACCATGCATCTATCATGTTCTGCAAGACCATCATAAAAGTAGAGGATGAGGTCTTGGTCCGAGTACCCATGGTATGGGCAACTAGTGTCACGCCCCGGACCTACCCGTACACGTCAACAACCCGCCGTACAATACGAATAGTCAACCGCAGTCCAACTCATCCATATTATACAAAGCGTCTTGAATATCATTCACACATATAACGTCCATAAACAAACATAATAAGTAATACATAATGCAGCGGAAACATTGTTTAAAACAAAATGGCCACACAGGGCTATTCATGAGCACGCAAGCTCTATAGTAAAATATCCATGAGCATGTTTAATATTGTTCAAAACAGAATGGAGAAAGCACGAACCACATCTTCTCTCCAAATGATCACCCGAGCAATGCGCACAGGTAGTAGGCTCAAGCCTCAACCTGAAATGGTGGTGGGACGCCCCCGAAGGGGTCAGTACTCTATACGACTATAAAGTACTGGTGTGGCAGGCATCTAATAGATATACAACAAGTATTTCACACACAAGACCCTGAAATAGGGTGATAATATAGTCTAGACTGTAATCCCAAGTTACCCCTTTTCAAAATATATACTTACTTTATATAAAGTCAAGTAGTCGGCTCAAAGACCCATGTTTATTACAAAACATTTCTGATGTGAGTTTTCTCGCACTTAAAAAGATTGTAATATAGTGGTGTAAGTACGAGTATCGTCTCCACAGGGACGGACAAAAGGGAATTAAGAATTAACTAAATTCAGCGATTAAAAAGAAATAAAATAAATAAATGCAAGTGTGCAAGATTGATTGGAGAATTAAAATTAAACTAATGCAGATGAGCGATTAAAATAAAAGCTTGGTTTCTTTCTAATTAACGACGAAGGGAACATGGATTGATTCCGGGGTAACCAGATTTCTGGCAGAACAGGCCTAAATACATGAAATTGATTTAATTGAGCCTAGCTAATCATTACTAAGTTCTTACCGCTCTCGCGGCGTAGAGTACAATAATTTAGAGGACCAGGCTGATCTCTCATGCGACAAGATCCTAAATTATTGCCAAAATGAGCGAGCTTACGGCCCCTTAATCGTTACTAATCTCTTAGCGAATGATTAAGTGTGTGTGAATGTGTCCTAGAATAAACTAGATCTCTCTTAATTTATTCTACAAGCAATTGTAATTCTAGCTGCGGTTCCAGGTTACAAAAGATATCAATTAAATTATTCAAACACAAATTAAACGGCGTTCATGCAATTAAACCAACAAGAATCTAGACATCAATCATGATTAACCCTTTCATCAATCCCAAATCCCTAATTAAACTACTCACAATTCATAACTAAAGAATCAACAGAATTGGGATGAATAGAAATAATTGTCATTAATTAAAAAGATGAACTTACAAATAATCCTAGGGTCTTGGAGTAAACAATCTTAAAAACGCAAGTAATTTCGTCCCTAGGCCTCTCCGTAATGTTCGTCACGTCAAAATATGGGTATGGGGGTCTCATTTATAGAAAACAGATGAGTTTGGGCTGAACTGGGACTAAAAAGGGGCTGAAATCCGCGTTTCGGGGGTACGCACGATCGTGCGTACCTTGCCACGCACGATCGTGCGTATGTGGCAGTGGCTTTCTTCCGTTTTTGCCTCGGACGCACGATCGTGCGTTCCCCTACGCACGGCGTGCGTCAAACTTCCGAATTTGACAAAAATTCCTTCATGAAAGTTGTAGATAATGAAGTCCTCTATCCACCCAAATTTGCCGAATGTGATTTGAATCATCCAATCAAGAGATATGATCAAAACGGTGGAAGGTGTCATTCTGAAATCGCATCAGAGATCATCTGACTTCATCGTCTGTTTTCACCTTCTTGCTCTCATATTATCGTAATGGTGTCTTCATATGATTTCTAGACCTTGAAGTTGGCTTTCATATAAAACTTTAATCGTGTACATTGGTTTTTCCTAAAAAGAGATATGCTTGAACGACTGACAGAAGGTCATTCTGATCGTCGTTTTCAAGCTTCATTCATCTTCTTTTGATCCTGAAGCCAATCCTATAGCTCTTTTTCCTTCAAATCTTCATCGTTAACCTCCCGGTGACCTCCAAAGCTCTCAAATCAATCTCAAATGCTTCTCAACTCATCCCGATTTCTCCTCAAGCACCAGTGCCGAACTCTAAAATCCTGATTTTGACTCCAAATGACACAAAACTCGAACCAACGCCTGTTAAACATAACTTGAGCTAAAATTGAGACTTGTAACACCCTAAAGCTAGAAAAACCATCAAAAGACGATCTCAACACGCATCAAATGTGTGTCTAAATACGGACTTATCAATTTCCCAAACCCCGTGACTACCAGTCACGACAATACATAGGGTCCAACCCTAATATAAATTCTCAATTCCAGAGTTTGGCTCGAGTACATCATCATACACGCATCATAGATCTCCTACTTTGTGAAACCATATCATAGATCTCCTACTTCATGTATTCACACCATAGATCTCCTACTTCATACAATCACATCATAGATCTCCTACTTCATACAATCACACCATAGATCTCCTACTCCATGAATGACGTGCACTTTGTCGTGTGTGCACTCAAAATAAATTTCAATACTAACACTTATACGTAGTATAGGTGAAGTAGAGTTCGTATCCACAGGGAAAGGAAACAATTCTCTTTTTATGTAACTAGTAAATAAAATGGGGGTTTTGAGTTGAATGATTTAATTTAATTTAACACAAAGATGAACGACTTATATGAGATTTAATTCAAAGATAAAAAGGACTTGGCATTGCTACTTTCCACTTGTTGATATATTTTAGTCGATCATTGTTATATCTATAACTTATCTCCTCTCGAATACTCAATCAAGGAGTATATCCAATTCATCGAGGATAGTTATTAACAACGACCGTTCATTAATAACCCTTACTATTAGTCAAGTATAGAACACCGCCATATACCGACTTGATAGTAGCATTTAATCGCTTAACTCTTTGATGAAATCAATTGAGATTGATAACCTCAACACAACGGTTTTGGTTTAACCAATAAAATTAATCCCTCTTAAGTTTATTAACCACGACCGTGCATTAATAAACCGAAGTTACTTACTTGTGAAACCATCAATGATTAACCATCGGTTCGTTGATCGTCTCTAGTAGTAATTAATGTCGAGATGTTAACTAATTGTCATCTTAGCAACACTCCCCAACATTAATATAGAGATAGATTAAGGGAAGAATTAATACTCAAGGAAGAATATTAAAGAAGATGAATCCTACTATAATTAATATCAAGATGTTAACTAATTGTCATCTTAGTAACACTCCCCAATATTAACATAGATGAAGAAATAACCATTACTATAACTAATGTCAAGATGTTAACTAATTGTCATCTTAGTAACACTCCCCAACATTGATATAGAAATAGTATTTAAAGAAAGAATTAATATTCAAGGAAAGAAGTTAAGAAAATAACTCACAACTTTAATAATCAACAAGCTTCAAGAGCAACACCAAGATATGGAAGTTTAGCTCCTCATTTGGAGACTAAACATGCTATAAAAATATAAAAGAAATACTATTCTAAACTGAGCTTAAGAGTATGGAAGAAGAGATTATCCTTTGTGAAGGAAAATGGGGTTATTTATAGGTGTTTTCAATACCCTGGGGCATTGACCCGCCCGGGTAAAAGGACATACCCGACCGGGTCAACGTCAAAATCAAATATTTCCCACGTTCTAGCGATCTTCGGCATGTTCTGGTGTTCCGGGTCACATCTGACCCGACCGGGTCAAATAAGTGACCCGCCCGGGTCTAGTGACTTTCTCAGCAGTTTCTGATTCTTTGTCATGCCCGACCGGGTGAAGTATTGTACCCGGTCGGGTTTTTGCTTCTGGGTAGCCAAATCTTATTTTTCTTCACTTCAAAGTCCTCCTTTTCAACACCCTAATTCCTAACTCTACTTTACAACTTACAAATGAAGATTAAAATACAATTACAACTAAAATCACACAAATGTTTACAAACTAAATAAAACGGTAAACAAACCACACAAATCAAACATAAAAACATACACTTATGCACTACTAGTTAGTGCATATCAATGAAATCACAATTGACACTTGAAACTTATTCAAGTTCATCACAAACAAACACAAACCTTAAGTTTGATTCTATCGACATTTCGAACAATCCTTAACTAGCATCACAATACTATTAAGATTATTCCTACAACTCATTTATTCTTAATGGTAGCCCCTCCATATCAATAGATATGTGGCAGCCTCCCATGTGCTAAGCATCATCATGCAACTATACATTTACATACACATAACATTCATACATGAGTTAGAAAGGTCTATTTACCATATTAGCATACTTCTACCACATATGACTCCATATTCATCAATATGTTTTCAATTCATCACCATGATCAAGTCCATTACTTATCATTCATATCATGTTCAAGCATCTTTATTCACAAAAACATGATTTAAGCATTTAGGTAATCTCATGCATAACCTACAAGTTGTAAGCAACTAGATGTCGGTCCTCACCTCGATTAAGCTCCAAACTGCCCTTTATCAATCCAGCAACCAAACCTTTGTCCAAGAGTGATTGAATATTGGTTCCTTGCCTAAAATTGGATTCTATACAGCCTCTTCCAAGTGTATGTTCGTTCCCTATCAAAAGTTATGAAAACAGCCCCCCTAAAGGGTGTTTTTGGGTGAGTACAATCCATAACTTTTCAAGGTTTGTTCTAAGTTAGTATCTAACATTTACTTCAATAAAGTAACCTTATAAAGAACATATTATACACTTAAAATAGTGTAAAATGGTTCTACAAGTCGTTCATATCATATAGATAATGAAAAGGAAGGTTTTGGGTTCAAACTTACTATAAAGAGGAAAAACTGTTTTGCACGTCTGGGTCTGTATTCGTTGATTTGGAACCCTTCCTCTTATATTCTCTTCCCAAGCTGCACGTTTATAGAAACTACGTTTTTAGAGGTTTCATTGACATATTACACGTTCGGTTTGGTTGAGAGGAGCTTAACAAATAGGAGTAACAATCACTAGAATCGAATTCACAGTTTTGGAATCCAGATTTTTACCTCGATGTATATCCGTCCTTTTTGGGCTGTAAACTCCTTCAATTCTCAAGAATAGAACCTTTTATGAAATATCTATTCAATACCTTTCCAAAGACACCTCAAACATCCGATTTGAATAAGTGGTTCTCAAGATATGAGGTGAACAAAACCAACACTCGCACTGTGCGAGGTTATACGCAGCAGTCCCCTTTCTTCTCTCATATCTGTTTGTGTGGACTCCTTTGCTCTCCAAGACCTGAAGCTCGTGGATAGATCTCTTCTTAATCTTTCTAAAGGCACCTCATTCACTCAATTTGGTCGAGTATATCTCAAATGATGGAGGAAACACCACAGCTCACATATGAGTACAAATGAGGGTCCCAAGTTTGTCTTTTCCATTATGTGCAGCCCCTTCTTTATGTGGCCGTCCAACTAATGTTTCTAACCCCTTTCCTCTTATTTTGCAGGTGCTAAGGTAGTGTGGGACTCCCCCCATTGATCCCAAATTAATTTGGGGGAAGGTATCTACCAATACTTCCAACGATGGAAAGATGGTCCTATTGTTTTTATCTTTGTCATGAAATGCCTTTTTGTACTCATTCTAATTTATTTAGAACAAGTCAAACTCCTACATCATATTATTGATCTCCAATATGTGTAGAATTATCCCAATAATTTACATGGTGCATACTTATAAAAGAAAACTCTACTCCCATTATTTAGCTCAATAATGCCAAAGATGGAACCATAGGAGTTTGTATTCCTCTCTATTCATCCTTTCACTTATTTATGACATTTGTATTCATATTCTTGGGCTACAAGCCATGTGGGTCACCATCAAGTGTCCTAGAACTCCATTCTTGAATACTTACTATTTTTAGCTGGTTGGGCCCAAAATAACATTTGGGTTGCCCGACCTTCCTTATTTGGTCTAGGAGGGTTATGAACATTTTCTTTACATCGTATTGGGATCTTATATCTAATAAGATGGCCCAATAAAGTATTTGGAAACCCATCCTTATAATGTGGACCTAAACGATAGTACGATTAATCATTCATTACATAAAGCCTTAATCGTTTTACACGTAATTGATAATAGGGAATTCAACTGTATGAATTGTATTTTTTTTAAAATCAAAATTTCCAGGTACGTTCGGGTGCGGTGTCACAACTAGCATAAAACTTTTTGAAGCGCTCCCAAAATTCATATAGTGATTCATCATCACCTTGTTCAATATTGCTTATTTGCTTCTTTAAAGATGATGAGACTGATGCAGGATAGTACCTTTCTAAGAAGCATTTCTTCATTTGTGCTCATGTGTTTATACTTCCCTAAGGAAGATAGAAAAAACAGTCCTTTGCGGTGTCCTTTAGGGAGAGTGGAAAAGCCCTCAATTTGATTTGTTCCTCGGTGACTCCATTTGCCCACATACTCGTGCAAACAATGTGGAATTCCGAGATATGTTTATTTGGATTCTCCCCTCTTAAAACATGGAAGGATGGCAATAGATGAATGAGCCCAAATTTTAGCTCGAATGTAGCACCCACATCGAGAGTCGGGAAGATGATACATAATGGTTGTTGATTGAGGTTTGGAGCTGTGAGCTCCCTCAATGTTCTTGTCTCGAGAGGCATGTGTGTGGGCTCTTCGGATTCGCTAGAGCTAGAGTTAGCGTTGGACGAATCTCCGGTAGATAATTCCTCCGAGTCAGTACTTGAAAATTTGTTTTTCAACCGCTCGAAAGTTTGTTCTATTTCCAAGTTTACTTGGTAAGTGATTTCATTTATGGAACGGGTTTTTACCATATACTCATATAAGCTCAAGAAATAGAAAAGTGTAAAATGAACTACACCAAACCATTCTTGAAATGTTACATAAAACTTGTCCTGCTGCACAATACCTTGCAAACGAAACATCAATCCCACGAATTAACAACGGCTTGTTACAACATTTGCTCACACAAATAGATCATATCAAAATTGTATGAGGGAAATAAATCATCCTCCCATTAAGCAAACAACTCTGCTACACTTACCAATAACATTTTATTAATTTTTTACAAAAACAAATCTAACTATTTTCAATAAGTCATAGTTGAAGTATATCATATAGGGTGTTTGGAACTGATTCTGATTCTGCTTCTTTTTTGAAGTAGAAGCAGAATCACTAGAATCACTTTTAGATTTTCATCCAAACACTCTAACTTCTGCTTCTTGAAGGAGCAGAAGCAGTTTTAGAATCAGATCCAAACACACCCCATAATCTACACCGGAGAATAAAGATTGCAATTATAGCTGTGTGTCCTAGAAACGACTGCTTGACATGAGAAAGTAATGCAAAAATAAATACTAGTAGCTGCTAACTCTTCGATATCATCAATTCCCATCAACTATCAGACCAATAACATTTTCTTCCTTAAATACAGCTAGACAAGGGAAGATGGAGAAGCTGTTTGAACTCGCACATCCTAGTGTCAGTGTAAAATGTGTTATGTTTATTAGGCCAATAAGTTAGCCAAATGCATGCAGAGAGTTCCCAGTCCATAATCCCAGGGCTGCTGCTCGTCTTCTCCAATTTCCAGACCACTTTCTCGCCATACTCATCCCCCGCAAAGATGACCCCTCCCTGCCGGGTGAAGGGCCTGAAGACGTTGGAGTAGCGGTGCTTGAACCACGCCTTAGGGTGCATCATCGCCAGCTTAGAAGGCTTGGATGAGAACACTTCCCTCCCGTCCCCGCTGTCGTGTAGGAACCAGTTGAAGCACGCCGTGTCTCCCTTCACCGACTGCTCGAACTTCCACGGCTTCAGGCTCGCCACCGCCGTCTCGCTGCCCCCGACCTTGAGCCCCAGCCCCAGGTTCGGAGGCTCGAACGACGCCTCCACTGTTCTTTCTGTCCCTATTTCTCGGGCCGGGTTCTCCGAGGATCTGCTCACGGACACGCTTAGGATGTTGATTTGCGGGGATGGAGTGAGCTTCAGTGAGATTCTTGAAGGGAAGTGCTTTTCACATGCCCCTGCTCCTCTTCCCTTCATTTGACTTTCATCCACCAATCTCACCACATCACACCTGCATGCATACATGCATACATACATACATCATTAATTCATTATCATTATTTAAGAAAGAAAGAAAGAAAGAAAGAAAGTTGCTTGCTGGGAAAAGATTTCATTCCAAAATGTTCTTCTATATATGGCTTTTATGGTGTGACTTCAGCAAGCAAGTCATTAATGGCCCAAATTAAATTTGCAGTCTTTAGGAGGAGTTTAGGATGTTCTGACTTGGGCATGATCACTACGCTTCAGAAGCAACCTTTTAGTTCATCCAGGAACTAGGATGCAAGCTGGATATCTTGTCCACGCGGTCGGTTTTTAGTTTTTACCTATAGTTTGGGAAAATATCTAATGCCAAGGGTAGCTGTTGTCAACATTTTGAAGGAGAAGAAGTTGTTTGTCAAAACTGTATGTGTCTATACTGTTGTCTGTTGTGGGCTTAAAATGCCCTATAAGATGGTGTTCATATATGAGGACCATCCAGGTGTACTGCACTTCCACAAGTTGGTGTTCATTTTGCATTCTTTATAATTCCATTTGTAGTGTGAGACTGTTAGCTCATAACTATGGTTTTGTCAACGACTTGGAGGAATATGATTATTACAATGAAGAAACTGTTGGGTGTGTTTCGAAAAACAAAGAAAATTAATTAAAATAAATTAATTAATAAAATGACAAAAGAAAACAGAAATGAGATGGAGCAGAAATTTGTCAAAGCTCGTGCTACGCACGATGTCCTTAAAACGTATTTGTTGCCTCCCACGGTGCTAGGAGCGTTGCAACAATAGTTTCCCAGGATACGATGACAACGAACTAATGTTTGAGCACACAAACAAGAGTTCCAACGAACGAGAACAAAAGCTGAACACAAAGGGAATTTTCGGAATGCTGGAGGTGTATTTGAGCTAGAAAACACGTGAAGTTCGTATTGTGCGTTGTTGTGTTGTTGCAAACCACCTGCAGCCATTTATAGGGAAGATTTGTTGTGTGTTTAATGGAGGTTTAATGGATATGAACGTTGGTAATCAATGTCCAGCACGTTGGCATTGATTCTAGTCCAAAAAACCGTCCATTTATTGCAAAGGAACGTTGGGCATTTATGGAGTTGTAACGTCCCAGCAGTGGGCTGCGGCAGACGTCTCAGCAGCAGGCTGCTACGGACTGTCCTGCCGGCAGCAGGCTGCTGCCGACTATCCTGCCAGCAGTGGGCTGCTAGAGCAGCCGGCTGCTACCCCATTTCAACGGGCAAACTTCGAAAATCGATATTTCATTCACCCGTTATCCGTTTTGAGTGTACCACGTATCGAATTGTAGCCCTTAACAAGGACAATCCGAAACCACTTTGACCCGACCCGAATCGGAAGTGGACCCCACTCAAAAAATTGCCCCAAAATGACCATTTAATGCAATTTACTAACACATTTTCCAACAATCCCCCACATGAATGAAAATTGATTTTCGAGACTTAAAAATGACACGAAGATAGGAGGACACGTTGTGTTCACCGGATGATCCTTGCATGCGGAGAGGTAGGTTTAATCCTTTGAACCTTCCGCTGTAAAGACACGTTTATTTACTGGCTGTCTAGTAGACTCGATGTCTTTGAACTATACTGCCGTCGTGTAAACATTGACTTATCTTTACACAAGAACCTTCCAACTTTGTTCCGTTCTCATGGGTGTGCCCGTTTTGGCCATGGGTCACCGTCCTGGTTCTGCAAGAGTTTCTAAAGAACTGAGCCTTTACAGTTCTCCTTTGAAGCGGCCCTCTTCTCTCTCACATAGGTGATTCTTTCACGAGTATCCCGCATACTCTTCCAATGTTATCGAGTAGATCAACATTTTAGAATCATTAAAGCAAACGTTTTTGCTAACCTCGTGCGGGAGTCACTGTTTCAACGAGGAGTGGCTAGGAGTCCGGGACCCCCACAGTGACCATCCTTCGCTCTATAATTTAGTTGTCCCATTTGAACCTAGGACCAACTAGGTTGGGTATCCACTATAGAACTTTTCAATTCACGGCCTTTAATCCCATTCCTCGTGACAACTTCTCCAACAATTCTCTATCCAATGCCTTGGTTAGCGGATCCGCTATGTTATCCTTTGACTTCACGTAGTCAACAGTGATAACACCCGTTGTGAGAAGTTGTTTAATGGTATTATGTCTACGACGGACGTGTCTAGACTTACCATTATAGAGATTGCTCTGTGCCCTTCCAATTGCCGCTTGACAATCGCAATGTATGCATATTGGAGGGACAGGTTTCTCCCAACTTGGAATATCCTCGAGAAAATGGCGTAGCCATTCAGCCTCTTCAGTGCACTTATCCAAGGCTATTAGCTCAGATTCCATCGTGGATCTAGCTATTAACGTTTGTTTCGAGGACTTCCATGAAACGGCTGCACCCGCCAAAGTGAAAATATATCCACTCGTGGACTTTGAGTCCTTAATGTCCGATATCCAACTAGCGTCGCTATACCCTTCAAGTACAGCTGGATATCTTCCATAGTGCAATCCAAGGTTTTGGGTTTTTCGTAAATACCTCAAAACCCTTACTATTGCCTTCCAGTGTTCGTCACCGGGGTTGCTAGTATATCTACTTAGCTTACTAACTACAAAGGCAATATCAGGCCTGGTACAACTCATTAGATACATTAAACTGCCAATAATCCTAGCGTATTCTACTTGAGAAATACACTCTCCACGATTTTTGGTCAGGTGTACGTTTTTATCTAATGGCGTCCTTGCCTCTTGATAATCATCCTTATTAAATTTAGTAAGGATTTTATCCACGTAATGGGATTGGCTTAGCGTCAGACCCTCAGGTCCTCTAATTATTTTAATCCCAAGGATTAAATCGGCCAGCCCCATATCCTTCATGTCAAATTTAGAATTTAACATGTTTTTGGTAGAATTAATCATCAGATTATTACTACCCACGATGAGTATATCATCCACGTATAAACATAAAATGACATAGCCGTCTACCGTGCTTTTCACATAGACGCATTTGTCACTTTCGTTTATTTTAAACCCATTAATTAACATTGCATGATCGAACTTTTCGTGCCACTGTTTAGGGGCTTGTTTCAATCCGTACAATGATTTAATTAATTTACAAACCTTCTTTTCTTGGCCTGGAACACGAAAACCCTCGGGTTGTTCCATATAGATTTCTTCGTCTATATCGCCATTTAGAAAAGCGGTTTTTACGTCCATTTGATGAACTTCCAAATTCCGCAAAGCGGCAATTGCTAGTATCATCCTAATGGAATTTATTCTCGTCACAGGAGAATACGTGTCAAAGTAATCATGGCCTTCACGTTGCTTGTATCCTTTGATTACAAGTCTGGCCTTATACTTATCAATGGAACCGTCAGGTTTCATTTTACGTTTAAAAATCCACTTGGATCCCAAAGGTTTACTTCTCGGAGGGAGATCAACCAATTCCCATGTGTGATTTTTTAGGATAGAATCCACCTCACTTTTGATGGGTTCTTTCCACATAGGTCCTTCGGTAGACGTTACGGCTTCCGTATAAGTCCGTGGCTCATTTTCTATCAAGCAAGTTAGAAAATCCGGTTCATTTTCTACCATACACGTTAGAATATTCGAATCGAATTCTACCAAGTATGTGAGAAAATCCGGTCCGAAGGATTTTTCAACTCTAGCACGTTTGCTACGTCGGGGTTCAGGTTCTTCACCGGATCCCTCGCTAGTATTTTCCATAGCTACGTCAAATGTTCGTTTTGACGTGCTAGGTCCATCGTTGGACTTGCATGGAAATACGTCTTCAAAGAACGATGCATTCCTTGACTCGATTATTGTGTTTTTATGTACATCCGGATTATTCGAATCGTACACTAAAAACCGGTAAGCACTACTATTTTGTGCATACCCAATAAAAATACAATCCACCGTTTTTGGACCTATTTTTATTTTCTTAGGTGTTGGTACAAGCACCTTAGCAAGACACCCCCACACTTTTAAATATTGATAGGAAGGCCGTCTGCCTTTCCACAACTCGTACGGAGTTTTATCATATTTTTTCCGGGGAACCTTATTTAAAAGGTAATTGCTTGTCAAGATTGCTTCGCCCCACATATTTTGTGGCAAGCCCGAACTTACTGGCATCGCATTCATCATATCTTTCAATGTGCGATTCTTTCGTTCGGCAACACCGTTTGATTGAGGTGAATAGGGGGCGGTACGTTCATGTACTATACCCACACTAGCGCAAAAGTCACCAATTGGTGCTTCATACTCACCACCTCGATCACTCCTAACCGTTTTAATCCGTCGATTAAGTTGGTTTTCCACTTCATTCTTATAAAGAATAAATTTATCGATTGCTTCGTGTTTATTTTTTAACAAATAAACATAGCTATAGCGAGTGCTATCATCGATAAAGGTAATAAAATATTTATTACCGCCACGTGTTTGTATTGATTTAAAATCACAAACGTCACTATGAATTAATTCTAGTGGTTCCGTTTTTCTTTCAACCGATTTGAAAGACGTTTTCGTTAGTTTTGCCTCGACACAAACATCACATTTGTGCTTCACATCAATTGTGAATTTAGGAATGTGTTCCATGTTAATTAATCTACGTATAGAATTAAAATTAACATGTCCTAGTCTACCATGCCACACATTGGAAGACTCAAGCAAGTAAGCAGAAGGGATTTTATTATTATTAATAATAATAGTCGTTACATTGAGCTTAAACAGCCTGTCACATGCATATCCCTTGCCCACATACATTCCCGACTTGGACAAAACTAATTTGTCCGACTCAAAAACCATACGAAAGCCATGCTTGTTCAACAACGAACCGGAAATCAGGTTTTTGCGTATCTCCGGAACGAACAGCACTTGGTTAAGAGTCAGCTCCTTGCCCGAAGTCATCTTCAGGACCACCTTGCCCACGCCTTCCACCTCGGAATGGGCTGAGTTTCCCATCCACACTTTCTCACCATTTGATGGCTCAAAAGTAGTGAATAACTCCCGGTTTGAGCAAATATGCCGGGTTGCACCGGTGTCCACGAACCACTCCTTGGAATTGGATCCAACGAGGTTGACTTCCGTCACCACAGCCGCTAGGATGATGTCTTCATCCTTTTGCCCACCTTGCACCAAATTGACGTGAGAATCTTTCTTCCTCTTTGGTGCCTTGCAATCCGAGGACTTGTGTCCATTTTTATTGCAATTGAAGCATTTTCCGCTGAACTTAGTCTTGGAAACGCCTCCCTTGGGACCGAGCTTGCTCTTCCCATTATTTTTATTTTTGGAGCTTTTTTCATGCTCCACCACGTTGGCCTTGGCGCCATGAACAATTGGGAGTTTCCCATCGTTCTTCCGGTTATCCTCTTCAATCCGAAGACGGAGGATCAATTGCTCCAAGTTCATTTCCTTTCGCTTATGCTTAAGGTAGTTTTTGAAATCCTTCCAAGCCGGCGGCAATAAATGAATAATTGACGCCACTTGGAACGACTCGCTAACCGTCATTCCTTCATCTCGAATTTCGTTGAAGATCATTTGCATCTCCTCAACTTGACTCAAGACCGTCTTCGAATCCACCATTTTAAAATCAAGGAATCGACCGACAACAAATTTCTTTGCGCCGGCATCCTCACTTTTATATTTGTGGTCCAAAGCATTCCATAGCTCCTTAGCCGTAGCTAATTTGCTATACACATCGTACAAAGCATCGTGCAGCCCATTCAACACATAGTTTCGGCAAAGGAAGTCAGAATGCTCCCATGCTTCAACCGCATTGAATGATTGCACATCCACCTCACCCCCGGTTACAACCGGAGCGTCCTCGGTCAAGAACCTTGCCGAGCCGAGAGTAGTGAGGTAAAAGAGCATCTTTTGCTGCCACCTCTTGAAGTTCAACCCGTTAAATTTTTCGGGTTTCTCCACAGAGTTGCTCGGCACGGTCACCATAGGGATAGCCCTTTGGTTAACCAAAGCAGATGCACCGCGTTGTGAACTATTGTTCACCGGAGCTCCGCTTTCAGAGTGATTATCGTTCAAACCGTTCAAAGCATTCTGTCCAACAACATTTTCATTTTCTTGAGAAGTCATTTTTCCGTTTCTTACGTTCTTCGGAAACACAGAAACAAGTTCGTTCACCAAGGTGACAAACTACAAGTGTAAGATTGTTTACCGCAGTAGAACAATCACCGAATACGTTTTAAGTTTGTATCCGTATGATACAAGCTTAGCAACAAAATACGTTTTAAGATTGTTGGGTGTGTTTCGAAAAACAAAGAAAATTAATTAAAATAAATTAATTAATAAAATGACAAAAGAAAACAGAAATGAGATGGAGCAGAAATTTGTCAAAGCTCGTGCTACGCACGATGTCCTTAAAACGTATTTGTTGCCTCCCACGGTGCTAGGAGCGTTGCAACAATAGTTTCCCAGGATACGATGACAACGAACTAATGTTTGAGCACACAAACAAGAGTTCCAACGAACGAGAACAAAAGCTGAACACAAAGGGAATTTTCGGAATGCTGGAGGTGTATTTGAGCTAGAAAACACGTGAAGTTCGTATTGTGCGTTGTTGTGTTGTTGCAAACCACCTGCAGCCATTTATAGGGAAGATTTGTTGTGTGTTTAATGGAGGTTTAATGGATATGAACGTTGGTAATCAATGTCCAGCACGTTGGCATTGATTCTAGTCCAAAAAACCGTCCATTTATTGCAAAGGAACGTTAGGCATTTATGGAGTTGTAACGTCCCAGCAGTGGGCTGCGGCAGACGTCTCAGCAGCAGGCTGCTACGGACTGTCCTGCCGGCAGCAGGCTGCTGCCGACTATCCTGCCAGCAGTGGGCTGCTAGAGCAGCCGGCTGCTACCCCATTTCAACGGGCAAACTTCGAAAATCGATATTTCATTCACCCGTTATCCGTTTTGAGTGTACCACGTATCGAATTGTAGCCCTTAACAAGGACAATCCGAAACCACTTTGACCCGACCCGAATCGGAAGTGGACCCCACTCAAAAAATTGCCCCAAAATGACCATTTAATGCAATTTACTAACACATTTTCCAACAGAAACATGGTACAAAAAGTCAAATGAAATTAAAAGTTTTGGTTACAACAAAATAATTTTAAAAAAATAAATGAGTGTACCTTATATTATCTGTGTTGACCAGTACCTCAATCCAATTATCTCGGACTAATACCCTGTAGTTCAATTGAATCACACCCTCCAGTTGATGGTAGTTGAGGGAGAAGCGCAAGCGGTCATCAGGGGAAGGGCTGCTGGATTTCTCGACGTCCATGGCTATGACAGGACAGTAGAGCTGGACTTTCCAAAGCCCAAAAGACGAATTCGAGTACGAGAACAACGTGGAAGGTGTCCTTATGCTCCCCTGCAGATTCATGGCCTCCAGCTCCACGATCCAGTTTGTGATCGCGAGGTTCACAGTGCGCATCCACTGCTCTTCGATGTCGGACCCTAGCAGCCTCATCAGCAGCAACGATGAAGCCCTCGAGCGAGGCCCCGCGAACTGGTCCTTGAGAGTGTGAATGCATGTGGCCCGGAGGTCTTGAGGGCACTCATAGATGCACACGACGAAAGAGAGAGTCAGAAATGATATGTTAAAGATGTCTCTGATGTTGTCGCAGTCGTCATAGTAGTCTAGCCTGGGCAGTCTAAGTGGGGCCCAGGTGTGTCGTCTCGTATGTCCGTAGTTTAGGACAGATTGGACGATGTTAGTCAGTAGATGAAAGATGGTTTCATGGTTCAGTAACCCTTTTGTCACTTTTGGTGTGATTAGTATTGGGTTTGAGGTCCATAGAACAACGTGGAGACTGTAATCTGCAAAAATGGCTAAGCGGATTGATGAGGAATGTAGAGATCTTGTTATGGAGAGTTTGAGGGAAGGTTGGTATGAAGAAGAAGAGGAGGACGTGAAGGAGGAGCAGATGGGCGTCGAAATGGAGTCACTTCTCCATTGTGTGATTGGTGGAAGGTTTTCGACCCATGCCCACACGTCAAAGAAACAAGCAGGAGAATAAGCCATTGTGTGTTTTGTTTTGGGAGATGAGTCTCTCGATATGTGTCTACCAGATCAATGGAATTATGGGTATTTAAGAAGCTGAGCCTGGAGAACAACTCAGATTCTTGTTGGCTAGAAAGTCTAAAAGAAGGATAATAATTGAGGTTTGAATGGAAGTCTTTATCACAAGAGGAATAAAGCTATATGTGATGGCCTGAGATAGACACTGGAGCAAGTAAACACTTGTTATGGATAAACCCATCCGAAGCAAGCAAGAAAAAAAGAACATATTAGGCACTGCCACTTAGCTTCTTAGCTTGCTTGATGGAATTGCTTACTTGCATCCGTTAATTAAAGTGTTTATACATGACTTTGTTGGAATTCAAAAGTTCGCAAATTATATGGTAGCCTTCTTTCTTCAGAAATTGCTCTAATACATGACTTTGTTGGAATTCAAAAGTTCGCAAATTATATGGTAGCCTTCTTTCTTCAGAAATTACTCTAAATAGGAGTACAAACGTTTTGAAATTCCCAAATCGGACTATCATGTTTTTTATTCTCTGAATAGGAATAATCTGCCAAGTTTTGAAAAAAATGTCATGTTTAAAACACAGTAATACCAAACTTGACATAAATTTACTCCTATTTAGGGAATAAAAAACATGATAGTCATACTCCTATTTTGGAAATTCAAAGCGTTTTTACTCCTATTTAGGAATTCTCTCCTTTTTCTTTCATTTCACCCTAAAGCAGCATGTTCACTCCTTGTATTCTTTTTTCCTTTTGATATGAAAGAGGATAGATTTGATCTCCTTAGACCCCTTTAATTTTCCTTGGGGAATTTTCCTTTTCATTTCATACTAGGATAGATTTGATCTCCTTTGACCCTTTAATTTATTTCATATTTTTAAGAGTCGACAATGAAGTTCCCGTGTAATTGGGAAACACGTTATTAAAACTCCAAAACATTTTTTTTACTTCCGGGGCGGCAGGGGGGAGGCTGGGAAGTGGGAACCTGGATAAATAGCACTGAAGTTGTTTCTATGGAGTTTCTGGATTCAGAAATACGTGATGGTAAATTGAGACAATATATTATTTAGAAAATCAATTTTAGGAATAAGTAATGAATAATATGAAACTTATAGTAACTAGTAAATGGTTTTTCAACTTTATTCACTTTTATTTAATTATTAGCATCTTTCACGCACAATGCACGACATTCAATGCTCAACAATACAATTTGATCATTAATAATGCTCAACAATAATGTATACTAGGGCAACAACATTTCACAATGAATTCTCAAATTCAACATAACTTGAAGCACGTGTCACCAGACGAAAATATTTTGATATTCAAATCAACCATTCATTGTTGTGGTATATTGGATTGTTAGTCACTACATATAATAGATATCTTCCATTGACATTGGTCTTTGAACTAATCAAGATTATTGGAAGAAATCATATATACCATAAGTTTATGAGAAAATAGCTAAATTGACATTAACAAAAAAACATAACAAAGGTGATGCTTAATTTAGTACGAGTAGAAATTATAACTTGTACATGTCGCTTTGTCTGGATCTTCTTTTAGCTTTTTGTGATCATTTTGTTAATCTATTGTTTAGCATATTAGCATTGTCAATTGGGATTTACCAAACACTTTTTTTACCCCAGGGGGAACGAGGAGGGGGCTGGGGAGTCTGGGATAAAGGTGGTGTACTTTCACATCCAAGACCTCCCGTATGAGCGAGTGATCAGTCGGTGATCAGCTAAGATGGATCATTTGTTCGGAATTTACTCAGAATTAAAATTTTAGAATTTTAATTTTTTTTGTTTCATTGATATATGAATCCAATTTTTATACATCAATAAGTTTTTTTGTCTTTTTGTCAATCAACTTGGTCAATCATTATTTGAAAACAAAATTGGAAAGTATATAGCAATTAAACATATTTTAACATAATGATCTCAGCCCATTTTGAATGATGAATCCTTAATCTTCTAACCTTCTAAATTAATAAAAGGTGTTTTTGTAATTAATGCAACTCCTATAAAGGTTAGAACCACGTTTTGGAAATTTTGAGATACAAAGTTTTGAAGATTTCAAGATCCAAAAAATGAAGGTTCGAAGATTCAAAGATGAAGAACGAAGCTTCGAAGATCTCAAAAACAGAGACTGAAGATCTAAAGAATGTTTGAATATTTGAAGAATTAAAAACTTAATTTCGAGTTAAATTATTTACTTATATTTATTTTAAATTGTGTTGGGTTAATGACCAGCACATGGGCCGGCCCATTCACCTCGACCAAGACGAACGTCTTCCTGGGCGGGGCAGCCCACTCGAACGAACGTCCGTACAAAGACAAGTGGAGCAGATGCACAGACAGACGCAATGGCGACGGACGTCGCCTCCGGAAGCCATTATCACTTGGAGCCAGTCCAACCTATAGGACAAATCATCTAAGGGCCGGGATACGAACGGCCCATTACCTTTGCAATGTCACCAGGAGCAGGTCCCCCTTATCCGGACTGGACGAACGTCCCCACAACTAGGCGGGAAACCCAGATTCTGGCGGGAAGCGCATTTAATGCCGGAGATTTGGTGGTTGGGACACCAGCCACACACAAGCCTCCACATCAGCATAGCCAGCTGCCCATTGGTGGTATAAATAACAGCATTTATTTCATTGTAAGGGGTTGGCAACTTAATATTCTTAGCATTCTAGCTTATAGCATTCTTACTCGCAGCTCTTCTACTGCCTTGTAAGACGAACGGTCGACGATCCTTAGCGAAAGTATTGTATTGGGGAGTTATTAACTGATTAATAATACCTAATCTCTTACTTGCTACTTACTGTTTCTTAATCTGTCTCACTTGTTAGTTGGGCTAGTTTCTTCACACACACTCCACTCGAAACTCTTGGTCGTACATGTTGAACCCGGGGGTTGAAGGAATAAACCTCAACAAATTGCAAGTGAAGAACGAGAGGATTTATATTTAGATATTGATCTCGATATTCTCATATATTTTGAATTGCGGTCAATTTTAAATAAATACTTTAAATTTGTTCTACAATGTCCTATAAGATTGTCTTACACCAAATTTAGTTAAATTGTGCGATTCTAAATCTTTCTTACATTATTTTTAGTTTATTAATTCAATATCAACCACATAAATTTACGTTTTTTAGTAAACTTGCAACCTTCTTATATCTCAATATTAGTTTATATCACGCGTGCATAGCTATTGACTTGTTGAGTGTTACTCCCTCCGTCCTACTAACAATGGTACAAGAGGAAGTGGCACGATAAAAGTGGGTTTATGTGGTTGATATGGAATTGATAAAAGTAAGAATGATTTAGAATCGCACAAATGTTACTAAATTTGGTATGGGACGATCTTAGTAAGACGGACCGAAAAGGGAAAATGGGACAATCTTAGCAGAACGGAGAAAGTATTATTTACTAGCTTGTGTGTAGATAATACTTCAGTTAGTTGGATAGAATCCATATTACATGTATGACTATTATATCTTTCATATTTATAGGAGATTAACCCGTTTGATTACATTCAAATTCGTTGAATTGACATAATCTATTGGAATTATTAAATTATTATGGCTGAAATAATTGAATTACCTAAATCTTTTTATTTTTGAGGGGTAAAACTAAAAAATAATTTACTTATAAAATTAAGAAAAGTAATACGGAGTGTGAAAAATAGCTACAATAATTCTCTAAGACAATTTCAGTCATTTAAGTCAGAAAAGTAATTTCAACTTTAATTATTTTAGTATTGCACAATTCAGCGCTCGAGATTAAAATTAGTTAAAGATTTGGTAAAAGAATAGCTTATAAGGCCGGTAGCTAAAAATAGGGGTACCCCATAACTCCGCCATGGAGATAAAGACTGCGGCGATCGATTTTTCGTCAGCCAAAGACGATGAGGAGGACTGCATCGTCCTGGATTCGCGTCTTGTCTCTATGGTTTCACTGCTAGAGTTTTATTTGTCCGCTATCGTCTTTTGGCGAGGAGCGGTGCCATCTTCCGGCAATTCGTTCGTGGATAGGGAGATTCGGCTGGAGGCGACTCAAGGGATCAAGGCGATGAAGGAAGAAGATGAGGTGAGGGCAATCTGACCCCCTCCTGAACCGCCGCCGGTGGTTCTTGGAAGGTTGAGTGAAAAAAATTATTTTTTTGCTTTTATTTGTGTTAATGGTCTGAATTTGTTTGTGTTTGTTTGTTGTTTTATCTCTTTCGATTGTAAGATTGTGGTTTTGATTTGGATGTGGATGATGGAATGACTGCGGTAACCGTCTTTGGCTCATTTGTGCTCATTAATGGATCACTAAGTTATATTGTTGAGGCGATAAACTCTGAGTCTGGTTCGAGGAATGATGGTTGTCAGGAATTATTTTGTCAGATTACCTACTATCTGAATGACATGTTATCAATGTAAGCCCCTTTCATCCACAAAAATAGGGGTACCTGATGGACTCTAGTAGGTCAATAAGAAGGAATGTTGATGGTGAATGTTACATTCTAACTATTCTCAAGATTGATTGAGATGAGAGATTTATAAGGCTATGAGGTATTGGGTAATGGGTACGTATGTGAATTTCAACATATATTTGTTCAAAGGTTATCTCAACTCTCAACTTCATTCAACAGATATTAATTGATTCTTCCATGTTGTCTTAAGAGTTGAAGCAATCACGGAATCGTATTCCTCCCATATTTTTAAACCAAACACCTATCGGGCTATTGAACTTTGACGTGTGGAACATGCCTTAATGAATGGTTCATTCTATTGGATTTGGACAAAAGAAATACCGAGTATTGTGACAATAAAGTAAGACTGGTGGAGGAAAATACTCAAAATAGAATATGCATTCTTGGAAATCTGACTATAGTAAAACAGTATTTATATGTAAAATAAGTACTCGTAGTTATTATCTTTAGTGAATAGTGATTTCAGATTTTTTAAAGTAATCGTATATGTTAGGAATTAACGCACACAACACGAATGACTACATCTGGGGTGCTACCAAGCCAAGATATTGCTATTAATTTTCGGATCAACTGATTACAAGAGAGAGAGCTTGTATTTATAGAGAGTAAAACCTAACCCCAAAATAACTAGGACGCGCGGCCCAACAGTACGGAAACTCGCGACCCATCAAAAACGGACCCAAAAAATTCGGAATGAGCTTGATTATATAGTCTCTAACACCTTACAGCATATTCTATTCGCTATTCATTATTTTGTAAAATAAGTAGTTATATATCAATGTATGTGATTACTTTAAAAAAACTGAAATCACTATTCAGTAAAGGAAACTATGAAGTCGAGTACTAAGCGACTCGCGCACAATAATTGATAATTAAAAATGTAAAAATTAAAAAGTCAAGTTTTAAAAGTGTCACTAAAGATGTTTTTACTTGGACTATAATTTGCTGATCTGGTCTGGTTTCTTTGTATTCTCATAACTAGCCAAGTCTGGTCTGGTCAGGGATAAATTACCGTCCAAGTAAAAACATCCTAATACAACATTTGAGGGATCGAAAGTGGCAAAAACTCAACTTATAGTCATTACAAATTAGTTATGTTTAAAAATCTCTAAATTTGACAAAATTTGGGAAAATTTAATAATTGAGCATTTGAAGGGTTTTGAAAGTCCTAAAACCCCTCTAAAACCATTTCTTCTAATTTTTAAACTCCAAAAACAGATGTCATAAACCTATTATCACTCTCCCCTCCGAAACAGACTCCCAAATATATACATTATACATTTGTACAAAGTCTAAAAACTACTCTCCATTCCTGATACTAATTGCAGTTCAAAACAAGTCATTGCGCAAAAAATATGTCGACCCCAATCTGGTTCCAAAACCGGAATTATCATGCTCAAAGTTTCCTAAATTCTTCTTTGGGATTAATTTGTCTGGTATAACAATCCAACGCAGAGCATTATGTTAAACATGGCACACCGCCCGCACACCTAAGTGCGAGACACCAAGAAAGCAACTCTTGAAGTGTTTTCACTTTACCTCAATTTCAAACTAGACCAGGCGAGATTATAATTAAACAATCTAGAATAGATAAGAAAATATTAGTGAAAGTGAAAATAGACTTGATGTGTCTACGCGCGGAAAGGTGATGAACTCAAAATGCCATCGAATATCTATAGATTAATATCACACATCTAGCATAATGTGGTCATTTAATGTTCGTAGTAAAATTCGAATGAGTGTTTTATCAAGTCACTGTGAAACCCACATCATCCACCCCTGTTCACTGGAAGTCTGGAATCATAGCACATAGCAGCCACATTGTATCTGTGGATCTCAAAGCTCATCTCTGTTGAGACCACCAAGGCATGGAATAGCCTGAACCCAAATTAAAAACTCTGTAGGCAGACACAGCTCTTAAATAACATATTTCTATACAAATTTTCATCTTTACCTTTGTCTAATTCTCGAACCATCTAAACATATGAATACATAGATAACACATAAATCATTCACCGCCCTCCTTCGCTTCTAAAACCCGCTAAAACAAAGGCTAACTGATTAAAGTGGATTGTAGCGAAACATAAGATACGTGTTAAGTAGTGGCAGGTACATTGTACAGGTCATACTGATTGAAGACCGTACATAAACTACATAGGATCTCACCCGTTGGAATTAAAGAAAAGCGAGAAAATCCAATCTTTGGTTCTAAATTTCTAATTAATTAAAAATGCATTTCTAATCGATGGAGTTATAGTTTCCCATCAGTGATCCAACAAAACTAGCATATATATGGAAGAACTGAACCTGGGAATGAATCAAAATTGATGTAGTAGTGTTACGTGCATACACAAAACCCAGCATGGAAGGTGAACCATACATATATAAATATATGTAGCACTGCTCCACACCCAAAGTGACTCAACCCAGTTCCACAGATCACTGACCACAAGTTGGTTGAATCCTTGAAATGCACCTTTAAAGACAAAGAATGCAATTGGAGGGAAACCCAGAAACAGCAGGAGCACACTACAAGCTGCCCTGACACACGGCTTCAATGTCTTAGTCATGCCCTTGAGCACCAATGGTCTGTTTGGAACCTGAAAATTACTTGGGGAAAGAAAATAGGAAGGAAAATTTAGAAAATATCGGGGGATTTAAAGATAGGCTAAAGCTCAAATATATATTTTAAATATATTTGGATACTCATTTATGTACCCCTGTTATATTAGACTAAAAAATCTAAATATAATGTGCATTTAAATAAATAAATAAAAAATAAAAATAACAAATGTGCATTTAAATAAATAATAATCATAATTTCTTTTCCTTCGCATGTTCCAGGGAAATTTTATGGAGTCCTATGTGACTCCACTATGGAGTCATATAACACATGCGGCATCATCACAATCATTCATTTATGAAATGGGGCTCTCACTATAAATCCACTATAAAAATGAATGGTTGATATGAGGCCACATGAGCTATATGACTCCATAATGGAGTCATATAGGGCTCCATAAAATTTTGCCATGTTGCATGGTAAAGCTACACAAGGAATTTCTCAGCATTTCTTTCATTTCCCTAGCATTTTCCAGGATCTGAACATACCCCAAAGGTCTAGCCATCAAGCACATTGGGACCAGTGTCAGTGCTCCAATTTCTGCTGTTGCAAAGTTTATTACAGACATAAGACACAGTCCAATAAAGGCAGCAGCAATGGTCACTGACTTTAATAGAGCCCATTCGGTTTCACGTCTAAAGGAAAGAGAGGAACCATTTACAGCATGCAAGATCAAAAGGCTGAGAAGCGAAAGAACGGCCCAGACTAAAAGCTTGTTTGGGATTGATGAAACTGGTATAATGGACAAAAGCTGTGGAAGTAGTGCTACAGTGGCACCCCATACATGGACAATAATTACCATATTTGCTGCTTTAATCCATTTCCAGGATTTATAAGTGGAGGGAGTGTTGTCATTAGCAGATGGTAAAGACACGAGTTTGGTTTTCTCCTCCACAATGGAATCTAGTTTACCAGAATCAATAAAAAGAGAAGCTGCAACCAATGGTAGAGGAGATATAAGCAAGGCAAACGCAACCATGTACACTCCAACAGACACAAATTTATTGGGGGAAGTTAGAAGGTAGAGAAAATATGAATGGTGAAACTTCTCAAGGAGATTATTAACAGAGCGCACGACTCCTTCAACCAACCTGCAATTACAAACAATGACAATGTTTTGAAATATACTGAAAACTATACAATAAATACAAAAACAAAGAAAACTAAAAAAACAGTTCTTTATACTCCCAAAACACCCTTGCAACTAATCTGTACAAACAAGGTCACTTAAATTCAATAAAAGAAAGTTTACGATCTGGTTTTAAGGTGTTTGAAGGGGGTTGATGTTTACCTGCCACCTTGGAAGAGGAACTCATTTTGATGGAGTTTATAACTTGAGAGTTTAGGACAAACTTCCACAGTAATTGAATCAACTTGAACATCACGAAAAGCACCATGAGGCCCAGTAGGAATACCCAAAGCCTGAAACAAAATGACTAAGTTGATACATTAAATGCAACAATAACAAAACTGCATACAACATCCAAGCCTTATTCCCAAAAGATTTTGAGGTCAGCTAACACGAATCGATACAAAACTGCACAACGGCAAATATTTATTCACATATAAAGATTAAAATGATTAGCCGATGTAAATTCTTCTTTCATTGAGTAGTATATTTATAGTACAATACAACAACCCGATCCTACAAAGAAGGGATAAGATTTACAATAATTAATTACAACTTATCCTAATCTATAGTAACAATGTGTAACTAATTGACCTATTCTAAAGATATTCGACACTCCCCCTCAAGCTGGTGCAAAGATATCAATCATGCCCAGCTTGCTGATAAGTTCTTTAAATGCTGATTTGAATAGACCCTTTGTAAGCACTCTGCCAACTGTTCTTGAGTAGAGACATAAGGCATGCAAATTTCTCCACTTTCAAGCTTTTCTTTAATGAAATTTCTGTCAATCTCTATGTGCTTCGTACGGTCATGTTGAACAGAATTGTTTGCTATATTTATAGCAGATTTATTGTCACAGAACAGCTTCATGGGTTGCTCAATTTCCTCTTTAATTTCCTTCAAGATTCTTCTTATCCAAATGAGTTCACAAACACCTGAAGCCATGGCTCTGTATTCTGATTCAGCACTACTGCGTGATACAACATCTTGTTTCTTGCTTCTCCACGTGACAAGGTTACCCCACAGGAAGGTACAATATCATGTGGTTGATCTTCGGTCATTAATGTTTCCTGCCCAATCAGCATCTGTAAATACTTCTAGTTTCCTGCTCTCATTTTTTTCAAACCAAATCCCTTTTCCTGGACTTCCCTTTAGGTAATGTAATATTCTGTACACAGCCTTAAGATGAGTGTCATTTGGACAATGCATAAACTGGCTCACCAAGCTAACTGCAAAAGCAATGTCAGGCCGTGTGTGAGATAGATATATGAGTTTCCCTACCAGTTTTTGATACCTGGTTGTATCATCTAAAGAAAGCTTTTGGTTTGGATCAATAGGAGTCACAGCTGGTTTGCATCCGAGTAAGCCTGTCTCTTTGAGCAAGTCTAGGACATATTTCCTTTGGGAAAGAGCTATCCCTCTCTTTGACCTTGCCACTTCCATTCCTAGGAAATATTTCAGATTTCCAAGGTCTTTGATTTCAAATTGTGTGGCTAAAAGTTGTTTCAGTTTCTCTAGTGCTGCAACATCATCACCTGTCATTACAATATCATCTACATACACTATGAGAATGGCTTTTTTCCATGTGAGGAGTGTTTGTAGAACAATGAGTGATCAGCTTGTGACCGAGTGTAACCTTCTTGTTTAATTGCCTTTGCAAACCTCTCAAACCATGCTCTTGGAGATTGCTTTAAGCCATACAATGACTTATTTAACCTGCACACTTTTCCAACTGTGTTATAATTATCAAAACCTGGTGGTATTTCCACGAAAACTTCCTCTTTCAATTCCCCATTAAGGAATGCATTCTTCACATCAAATTGATGTAAAGGCCATTCATGATTTGCTGCTAATGAAAGTAGGACTCTTACTGTATTTAGTTTTGCCACGGGAGCAAATGTTTCTTCATAGTCCATTCCGTATGTTTGTGTAAAGCCCCAAGCGACCAGCCGTACCTTGAATCTCTCCACTGTTCCATCAGCTTTATATTTGATTGTAAAGATCCATTTACTACTTACAGTACGTTTGCCTGGAGGAAGTTTGGTCATTGTCCATGTGTTGTTCTTTTTAAGAGCACGCATTTCTTCTAGAACAGCCTCTTTCCAGCTAGGAATAGCTAGAGCTTCATGTATAGACTTAGGAATCTCATCATCAGTAATACTGGTAGTAAAGGTTTTATAGCTAGAGGAAAGATTAGCATAAGATAAATGATGAATAATGGGGTGTTTCGTGCACTCTCTAGTACCTTTTCTAAGGGCAATGGGAAGATTGGGATTTGGATCAGTGATGGGAACAAAATCAGACTCAAGAATATTAGAATTACCTGGAATTATAGTCAGATCAGATGTTGATGGTGCTAGCAAAGGTGTTGGTGTCACCCCTTGACGAGGACGTCGGGAGTAAACACGAAGAATAGGCTGGGAAGTTGTTTGAGATGCAACATGTTCATTTTCAGCAGGAATCACCGGATTAGGTAGGACATATTCAGTACAAACGACTGGCTAATTTTCAAGTATAATATCTTTCTCCCCCTGAAGATCAGTTTTGGAAAAGAAAGGAGTATTTTCAAAGAAAGTGACATCCATACTCACTATAACTTTACCGGTGTGTGGATCAAAAGCTTTGTAACTCTTTTGAGTAGGAGAGAACCCAAGGAAGAGACATTTCTTAGACCTCGGGTCAAGTTTACTTCTATGTTGAGCATGAGTATGAACAAAAACTGTGCTGCCAAACACTTTGGTGGGTAAAGTAGTGAATGACCTATTGAGTGGGAAACAGGATTGAAGGGTTTGTAAAGGTGTTGAGAAACCTAAGACACGACTTGGCATGCGATTTATGAGATATGATGCAGTAAGGACAGCCTCCCCCCAAAATTTCTAAGGGACATTCATAGAAAATAAGAGAGAACGAGCAACTTCTAATAAATGTCTGTTTTTTCTTTCGGCTATGCCGTTTTGCTGAGGGGTATTGACACAAGAGCTATGATGAATGATTCTTTCTTGAGTAAGGAAATCCCCTAGGACAGAGTTAAAGTATTCACGACCATTATCTGTCCTAAGGACTTGAATTTTTTATTGAAATTGAGTGTGAATCATGGAGTGGAATTTTTTGAAGATAGATGCAGCTTGGGATTTTTCTTTTAGGAGATAGATCCAAGTTGTTCGTGTGTGATCATCTATAAATGTTATAAACCATCTAGTACCAGTAATATTTTTATCTTGTGCTGGTCCCCAAATATCACTATGCACAAGAGCAAATGGTTTAGATGGAATATACTTTAGAGAAGGAAAAACTGATCTATGATGTTTAGCTAATTGACACACTTCACATTGAAAAGAAGACATGCTTTTATTTCGAAATAATGCTCGAAACATATGTTGCAAATAACTGAAACTGGGATGGCCTAAACGATAGTGCCATAACATTATTTCATCAGAAAAAACAACATGTCTAACAAAACTAGAGGAATGTGCTTGACTCTTAGGAAGATTGTCTTGGTCAAGGAAGTAAAGTCCATCACGTTCGCTAGCACTACCAATCATCTTCCCCGAAGATAGTTCCTGAAATATACAACCATTAGTAGCAAACTTAAGAGTACAATTACTATCAGTTGATAGTTTGCTGACAGAAGAGTGAGTGAGGAAGAGACAACTATAGATCCTTTGCCTGCAATGGATGAGAAGGAACCATCTGCAATTTTTTCAATTTTTACTTTCTGGTGACCAGAACAAGGAGCATATGAAAAGAATAGATAAGAGTTGCTAGTCATGTGATCAGTTGCTCCTGAATCTATGATCCAAGAGTCTGAATTTTCTATTGTGGTTGTTAGATGATAGAACATTGGTATTAAGCTAAGCAAACTATATCAAATCTGCAAAATGATGTAAGGACAGATCAAAGGGAATTTTATTGAAAGTGAGAACTCCAGATAGGTCGTACAAACTCGGGGACTATTCGAGAAGCCCAATCTCCTGACATCCAACTATTCAGAGCAACAACCTCCCCTAAAAGGCTAACCGACCTCTATTTATAGTCAATAGTCCACGCAGGGACTTTATTAATAGCTAACATACTCGTTAACTAATTATTGACTCCCCCCCCCCCCCCTTTATTCCTCCTTTCATAGACTCTATTGAAATATTTAATAGGCTGATTACTTATAAGCCTATCATTACTCCCCCGGGATAAGGCTCAAATGGGACACTATGGTTTCATCAGAATCTCATATTTGACACTAAGGTTTCAAATGGATCAAATTAGACACTATGGTTTCATATGTATCTCATATTGGACACTAAAGTTTCATAATTCATAGGTTTTGGACACTCACTTATATTGGATAAAGATCAAATTGGACACTCACTTATATTGAATTATGAAACTTTAGTGTCCAATATGAGATACATATGAAACCATAGTGTCTAATTTGGTCCATTTAAAATCTTAGTGTCAAATATGAGATTCTGATGAAACCATAGTGTCCAATTTGAGCCTTATCCCTTACTCCCCCCGGAAATTCACCTTGTCCTCAAGGTGAAAATCCGGGAAGTGCTTCTCACCATCTGCAGCAATTCCCATGAGTCTTCAAAGCTTGGTAGATTTTTCCAATGTATCACAACCTCCACTTTGCCTTCTTGGTTCACCCGGGTGTCCCTCACTGCTTCAGGTGTCACTTGTAGCTCCATATCTTCACTCAAGCATTTTGGAAGTGGCTGAAATTGAGTGGTAGGTGAAATCACTTTCTTCAGCAATGAAACATGAAATACAGGATGTATTTTGCTGCCTTCGGGCAACTTCAGCTTGAAAGCTACACAGTTGATCTTCTCTGTTATTTCAAAGGGCCCATAATACCTTGGACTCAACTTTTGATTCACTCTTTTGGCCAAGCTTTTAAGTTTATAGGGTTGGATCTTCAAATACACCTGATCACCCACCTCAAACTGTATATTCCTCCGGTGTTTGTCAGCCTGTTGTTTCATTAAGTTTTGAGCTTTAGCTAGGTTCTCCTTTAACTCTTCTAGCAATGCATTTCTTTGGGCAGTCAATCTGGACACTTCTTCCACTGCAGTCAATGTTGCATCTCCCCGAATTATTGCAGGAGGTTCCAGCCCAAATAAAGCCTTGTAAGGGGTCTGTTTCAGTGCTATATGGTAGTTGGTGTTGTACCAATATTCAGCCCAATGAAGCCATTGACTCCAATGCTTTGGTTTCCTTCCTGTGAGGCACCTTAAATAAGTCTCTAAGCACCTGTTCACCACCTCGGTTTGCCCATCTGTTTGAGGGTGGTAAGTTG